CCTCCTTCTGTCTAGAGGAGGGATGGCAATCAGGACACACGCGTTACCGCCTGTCAGCCATGCAGCAGCCCTGCGGCGGCTCCATCATTATCCCCGTTTTACAGATGAGGACATAGAGGCCCAGGGGAGTCGGGGAGCCTGGAGCTGCTCCATGTGGTAGTCGGGACCCAACTCCAAAGCCTGCTTCTCCAGCTGTGGGCCTGTTCCCCTGCGTGCTGATTCCCCTTTGCAGCCCAGTGCCTGGCATACAGTAGGCACTTAATAATGCGTGTTAGCTGAGTAACAAAGCAATAGCTCAAACACTGAATAAGTGAATGAGTCTCCAGCCTCATTTTCCCTCCTGAAAGAGGGCTTGGAAGGCAGGGGCAATGCTGTCTCCTGTGGTCCCTTCTGCCTCTGGAACCCCAGTGTCACCCTGTCACAGCGCCTCTCAGGTGGCTTTCAGAGACCTTAGACTCTGACCCCGACTCCACACCCCAAGGCTTCTTGACCCCGGCCCACTTCTCCTCTGCTCGAACCAGACAACCCTTCTCCCCAACGGATTCCAATCCCCTTCTCCCTACAAGGCCTAGGGCCCATCTCTCATAAAGGTGTCTGTCTGTCCGCCCCCACCCCCCCACCCCCACCCCACTGGTTCCGGCATCGTGGGCTCCTCAGCAATTCAGAACTTGTCTGAGCGCACCTTCGAGTGCAGCAAAGTTGAAAGAAAGCCATGTCCTGTGAACACTCAGTCTAGACCAGCGGTTCTCAACCTGTGGGTCGTGACCCCTTTGGCGGTCGAACGACCCTTTCACAGGGGTCACCTAAGACCATCCTGCATATCAGATATTTACATTATGATTCATAACAGTAGCAACATGACAGTTATGAAGTAGCAACGAAAATAATTTTATGGTTGGGTCACAACATGAGGAACTGTATTTAAAGGGCCAGAAGGTTGAGAACCACTGGTCTAGAGTGGTTCTAGAATGGTCTAGAAGACTCTAGACCAGTGATGGCGAACCTGTGACACGCATGTCAGAGGTGACACGCGAACTCATTTTTTTGGTTGATTTTTCTTTGTTAAATGGCATTTAAATATATAAAATAAATATCAAAAATATAAGTCTTTGTTTTACTATGGTTGCAAATATCAAAAAATTTCTATATGTGACACGGCACCAGAGTTAAGTTAGGGTTTTTCAAAATGCTGACACGCCGAGCTTAAAAGGTTCGCCATCACTGCTCTAGACCATTTCGAAGTGCGGCGAAGCCCCCAATACCTTTCATATTAGATAGGCGTTTAGGTACATTTCCCAAATTTCCGCCATTTTCATAGCATCTTGACAACGTTCACCCAATCTTGATACCAGCTCTACTGCTTTTTAGTTAATATTTTTCTTTAAATAATCAACCTTAAGTTAATTCCTCTCCTTTCCTTCCTGCCTTCCTCTCGTTCTAAGCAATGTCTGTGAGATCAGGCTGATGCTCCTGTCTTCTGGGGACCCTCTCTGATCACCTGCTTTGTCCCCAGGGTAGGGGCATTGCAGTTTGGGGAAATACTGGATTTCAGGATTAGATGCTTTTTAAGCCACAGACTAACCTTTCAAAATAACCTTGGTGCATATTTTAGTCGGCCTGCTAGAGACAGCATTTTAAAATGATTTTACTTTCTTCTTTGTGCTCTCCCATTTTTATAGGAAGCAGTTGCTGCTTCTGTAACTAGAAACTATAAATGAATGTTGGACAATCACTAAGGCACCGTCTGCATTTTTCCAAACACGGAGAGTTAGGTGAAGAGAGATAGTGGGGTGAGTGCCCAGACGTTGGCCAAGCTAATCCAAGAGTGACTTCTGTGGGCTGACTTCAAGTTCACGCTCAGCCCTCCTTCCAATTGTTGGACTTGGAGGAAATTTCGCCCCTCCCGAGTTTCTCCCCAGCAGCTGTCACGGGGTGTGTGTGGAACAGGAAACAGGATTAGAAGATTAACAGGGAGCCTGCCCGTGCAGCCTGGCTGTTATCGCGGCCGACTCCGGACAGTCACCTTCCTGGGACACTTGTCACTACTTGTCACTACCTGCTGCCCCAGAATAAACTCTGAACAAGGGCGAAACTGGGAGCAATGGGGAGTATCAGACACATTTTACTGAGCCTGGACTAGGCACCCGCCCCCTTTAGGCAGTCTCTCATCTCTCTCCTACAAGAACCCTAGAAAGTGAGCGCTACATTTATTTACGCCCTCTTCACAGATGAGGGATCTAGGGCTCCGGGAGCGTCAATCGCTTGCCCACGGTCACATGCAGAGCGAGGATGCACCCAGGTGCGTCTGACTCCAAAGCCTTCTGTTAGAGCCCCTCTGCTTAGTCCCCTGTCCTTCCCACAGGCCTCGTCCAGGGAAAACTGGGCACATGGCCCTGTGCACTCCCCACCTGGTCACTGCTGCGTCCTCTTGTTCCCAACACAGCTCCTAACACAGCCACAGAGACCCACGTGGCTCTCAGGCTGAGAGGTTTGATCCTGCCTGTCGATTACTGAGCGCCATCAATTACCAGCCCCCCCCTCCTGCCCCCCATCTGCCCTGCCTACCAAGAAAGTCACCTAACCAAACCCTCCCCAATCCACAACAGCTAGGGGCTGGTTAGGACAGCCCATTCAGACCAAATAGAGTCAGCTGCCTAAATATCTAGAACTTCAGGGAGAGTCCCCAGGATCACTGACATCTGAGCTCTTAAACTCCTGTACCTGCCACCTGTCCTTCCACGGCTGCCACCTGTCCAATCAGCTCCCCACGTGCAGGGGCCTGGCCTGACCGGGAAAGCAGTGAGGGGTCCTGGGAGTAGATGGGAGTACACAGTCTGCGGCCGGGGAAGCTTCTTGGAGGAAGGGAAAGCTACAAGGTGACACTAGTGACGACAGGGAACGGCCAAGTGCAGGAGGAGGGGACAAGTCTGAGGCAGACCAAATGTGTTGTTCGGAGGGACAAACGTCACCAAAAGAAGTGGGTTTGGAACTAAGTTGAAGCAGAGAGGAGGCACCTGTGAGGGACAAAGCACGGGGAGTGGACAGGCCGGAGGGGAGTGGTCATGTGCGTAGGGCTTGGGCAATCACGTGAGGGATTCTGGGCCTCCTACTGAAAACAATAGGAGGCCTAGATGTTCTAGGTGTGGAGTAACCTAGTCTGACTTGTGCTTTACAAAGATGTCTTCAGGGCTACCCAGAGAATGTCCGGGAGGCGAACAGGACCGAAGTCGGGTCTAAATAAGTTAGGAGGCTTGCACAGGCAGGAGCAGTGGTGGTTAGAATAGACGGGCTGGACGGAGACAGGGAGGTGAATCCTGAGATATGTTAAGAAGGTAGAATCAACACGACCTGGGAACTGGTGAAATTTGAGGGGTTGATTCAAAACACCGTAAATCCATTACCCCATGTGCTCTTGACTTAGTGGGGAGGAGGGAGGGAGTGGGGGCTGGAAAAAACCCTTAGATCTCAGCTGGAACTGGGTGCCCTCCACCTGGTCCCCACGGCACAACCTGGACCCTTACCTGCTGGAGACAAGCCTTTGTCGATGGCTAATGGGCCTGAAGGACTGGGCTCGGAGTGTGAACGTGGCAGGAATAAAAACTACCTCCGAGCCTAGGGCCACAGAGAGTCTGCCCCCTCTCAGCCTTATGTGATATTTGTTGTCAACTTTTTTTCTGACCAGAGACTAAATCCAACTCCAGTTTCAAAATGTAGATGTGCTTAACGCCAAATGTTTAGCTACAAAAGTAGTGTACATGTGTACACGTGAAGATAATGACATTTTTATGTTTACTGAATACAGTGAATATACAATATCATATTAGAGTCAGGTATACAAAAAGTCAACACTAATACACCTAACGAAGTGATCACCACACTAAGTCTAATAACCATCATTGAAGGTTATCACAATGTTATTGACAATATTCCCTGTTGTACATTACATCCCCGTGACTTATTTCTTTTATAACTGGAAATCTGCACCTTGCATTCCCCTTCACCCTTCTGCCCTTTATTTTTTAAAGTATGCAAATTAGATCTGGGAAGCCTGCTATCTGAGAACAGTTTCCACGGCGTGTATTTCTAAACCCAACGTTAAAACCACCACATAGCTACGCCTTTCTCTCAGGTCTCATCTCCCTTTGAGTGAGCATGTCTGTCCGTCTGCCCGACTCCCCCTTTCTGTGTCTCCCAGAAAAGGATAAGGAAAAGCTTCCTACGTGACCTCATTTTATTTTGAAACACGAAACCCACCACCAGGGGAAGGAAAAAAACACACTTTCTTGGTCACAGGGATCAAGATGTATTTCTCATTCTCTTGCCATATGGTAACTTATTTTGGAAACATATCAAGAGGCAGAGAGAGTGTTTGACGAAATTGGCAATCCCTTCAAATCAGACCAAATTCCCACTATATACATTTGTACAGCCCCATCTATTCATCATATCAGCGACTGCGACCACAGGATATGTAAAAGTATGGAGTGATTTTTATCACCATCTCCCAATCCCCCGGTGCCCTGGACACCACGTGGTGTCGAGTTTGTCTGTATTTCAGCCCCAGGAAATCAAGTCGTTAACTTCCCTTTCATTGACCAAGAGCTGTTGCCAGAAAGAAAATCATTCATCAGCCATGACTTATGGGAAAAAGAGAGAGAGGACTTCACTAGGAGGAGAGGCGGCAAGGGAAGAGGAGCGAATGGTAGCTTTAGCCCGCTGGGCAGATGAAGGATGCCAAGACCTCGGTACATTCCACCCCCACGCTTCCAGGATACATTCTCCAGGTCGCCTGACAGAGGAAACCACATGTGAGGCCAATCAGCAAGTGGGACTCCAGGAGGCTCCTTTGCCTTCTGCTCGCTGGCTATCAGGGCTCCATTTCTCCGTCCCCGGTGGGCTGCTGGAGGGAGGCGCCTTGTGGCTGATGGCTCACATGGGCTGTTCGGAGGGGGGGGGGGGGGTGCGTGGAGAGGAGGGAGCCCAGGAACTCACGTTCTTACCTTTGCATTCTTGACATTCTGTGCAGTTCCATATCGTCGCTGCCCCGGAAGCCTTTGGCGAAGGGATTGTTCTCGATCTTTAACTGGGTGATCTGGAGAGAGGAGAGAGCGTGATTGCTATGAGACAGCCCCGGGACGTGAGCTAAGATGGTGCTGCATAAAGGCAGCCTCTGGCAGCCAAATATTCAGGCGGAAGCTTTGAAAAAATATCCTAGATCAGACTGCTTTTAAACAGAGAAAAGAACCGGGATTTGGTTTGCCCATTAATTCAAGTCATGCTCAGCATCATTCTGGCCAGTTTGTTGCTGTTGTTGATTTCACTCTTAGCATTTTGTGTTCCAAACACCAACTAGGCCTCCCCAGCATCCACCTCCGCTTTGGAAAGGTGTGCGTGGTGGACGGTGTCACACATCCTGCAGCTGGCAGGCTCCCCTCAGGCAGGCTTGCTTACCGCTTTCCAAGTCCTGCAAGGCCTCATGTCATGTTCATTTCTGTTTCACAGGTAGACTCTGCCAGCTCAGGTGGAAAACGCTGTCTAATTAAATAAGCACCAACGGATAGAATTGTAGCATATATAATGGCTATCGAGCAGCTGCCAGACCTCTTTCATTTTTGAGGTAAGGAAGAAAGAGCCCTCTTCTTGGATACTTTTGTTGCAATGTACGAAGTTTAGCCATAGAACAGGGCCTTTGGGTCAAGGCCCAGAACTTCCATGTCAACCATCACACACATTCTATGAGGATGAGTGAACAGTAGCAGGTCCGGATGCGAGGGCGCCTCTGCCTGGCATTTGCCGGAAGCATTTCCTGACAGCTGGGTGTGAATTAATGTATATGTATCAAGTCACTCTGTGGACATCGAGGTTCAGTCACTCACGCTTGACCTTGACGGTCACTGTCATCTAAATCACACCTGTACACTGGTCCGTTTAATATTTTCACTTAAAGCTAATCAGTCTTTACTTCAACTTATTTAGTACAAAATATTATATCACTTCTATGTCCAACCAGAATCACTTGCTATTCCACAGAAAGAAAGCAATGCTTTCAGTTCTCTCTACTGGTGCCCACAGAAAGCTCTAAACCAGTGGTTCTCAACCTTCCTAATGCCGCGGCCCTTTAATACAGTTCCTCATGTTGTGGTGACCCCCAACCATAAAATTATTTTCGTTGCTACTTCCTGACTGTAATTTTGCTACTGTTATGAATCGTCATGTAAATATCTGATATGCAGGATGTATTTTCATTGTTACAAATTGAACATAATTAAAGCATAGTGATTAATCACAAAAACAATATGTAATTATATATGTGTTTTCTGATGGTCTTAGGCGACCCCTGTGAAAGGGTCGTTCGACCCCCAAAGGGGTCGAGACCCACAGGTTGAGAACCGTTGCTCTAAACGCAAGGCGGGCTTTCTCTTCATTACAAGGGAAGATTAGACACCTTTCAATCACAAAAGAGTCCCAACCAAACTAAGACTGTCTTCCTGATGGTTGAATAAAGATAATCGAAAGAGAACAACTTTCTGTGACTCCATCATATTCATGTAACCCCCCAAATCACCTCAGTCTACCCCCATAGTATAGTTATAGATGCTCAGAATCTCCGTGCGGGGTGATAGATGAAGGCGCCCTCTAATAGTGCATCTGGGGGCAGACAGTCTGGTATGTCCTGTTTTCTACAAGAGATGGCTTAGTAAGGTCTTCTAACTCCAACGCTCTATAATGAGCATAAACTTTCTATATGTATACGCATGTGTTCATGATAAAAACATATGTAAATTGAATATTTAAAAACATGCTATATGATTCCAGTCATATGACATTTGGAAAAGACATAACTATGGAAACAGTAAAAAGATGTGTGGCTGCCAGTATTAGAGGGGAGGGAGGGGTGAGTAGGCAGAGCACGGGATGTTTAGGGCAGGGGAACTCTTCTGTATGATACTGTGATGCTGGGCAGTGTCATTAAACGCTTGTCCAAACCCACAGAATGGACAGCGCCGAGAGTGAACCCTCAGGTGAACTGGACTTAGGGTGATGATGTGTCCGTGTTGGTTCACTGACTAACAAATGTCCCCTCTGGTGGGGATGTTGATGGTGAGCAGGCTGTGGGGGGGGGGGGGGCAGGAGGAATGAATGTAGCAAACCTGTGTACCTTCACTCAACTTTCCTGAGAACCTAAAACTGCTCTAAAAAAATCTATTACAGAAGCTTTAATATGTATGTATGCTTATTTATGTGTATACACATCACCTCCTCCCTCATCTTTTAAAAAATGATACCCATTCCTGCAGCTTTCTGATTTTGACTTGACTCTTCAGAGTCTACAAAATCCCTTTTAAAAAATGGTCTTTAAGCCCGGCCAGTGTGGCTCAGTGGTTGAGCGTCGACCTATGAACCGGGAGGTCACGGTTCTATTCCCGATCAAGGGCACATGCCGGGGTTGGGGGCTCGATCCCCAGTAGTGGGTGTATAGGAGGCAGCCAATCAATGATTCTCTCTCATCATTGATGTTTCCCTCTCTCCCTTCCTCTCTGAAATCAATAAAAACATATTTTTAGAAAACCCAAACAAACAAAAAAACGGTCTTTAAAATGTGCACTCCTGAGTCCAGTTCTGTTTCGTGTCTAAAAGCCTAATGGGGCTTTCTTTCCCACTCAGGTTTTGTCACAATAAAATGCAACCCACTTGACCATAAATTCCTTTTTTAAAGAGGGGGCGGGGAGATTCTCAAAAAGTCAAGTAAAAATCCCATCACCCACGATCTACTTAGAAAATGAGATCTTGCCCCACTCCCTGCGCCCCTCCCCTGCAGTCCCTGAAGCCAGTCCCTGAGCGGACGGAAGACACATGGGCTGTGGCCTCAGGTCTGAATGAATGCCCAGTCCGTGATGTCACTTCTCTACTGGGAGCTCGGGACAAAAGTATCGCCTGAGAGAAGAAGAAAGGGGTGGATTTGGATATTTTATCAGGCAAAGTATTTTGCTCAAACCCATTTCTTGCCCCTCAAACAGTTTACTTCTACCTAATTCTTGCGCTTATCACCACAGCTTCCAAAAATGTGGCTGCATAGGGTAAGCACGATGTGTTCACAGACACTGAGGTGTGTTGATCTTGCGTATATCTTGCTTTGGAGACTGAATATAGGTCCTGTAGCACGTAAGAACTACCCTGAGGAATGTGAGCATCCAAGCTGAGCTCAGGTGAGAATTCCGTCTTATTTCCCATATGTCCACCTTACTTCCTGAGAACAATGTCTTCTTTATGTCGTCCATACAATAACCTGTCCTTGAATTTGCCTTCGAATGTTCTACCTGTCAGCTAGCTCACCCGCAGGCGCACAAACACACGGACAGATGCACCGTGATGTCCCAGTTCTACCCAAAGGCTCCCCTGCAACTGACTCCATGCTCCCTCCGCATGAGCATAAACCGGATATCCGGGGGCGGGCTGGGGGGTGGGGGGGAATACAAATATAAATGCCAGCTCCAACCAGTGGGACAGAGGTTGTAAAAATTAATGAGAATAATTGTTGGGAATTCTTGCTTTTGAAAAAAGAAAAAAGAAAAAACCCTCACGAGGGCCAAAAATCTTAATTATGTCTCTCTATTAGGGGTTCATTTCCTGGTCCCAACCAGAAAGCTCATACCTCATAAATACAGGCTCCTTGCACAATGATTTAAGCAGGAGGAAAATGCCTTTTAATGGCAAAGTAAGTTAATATCGGGGGACAGACGTGCTCGCATACACAGCCATTGTTGCAACAGCAGGGAAATGAAATGCCCACGTGACCTTTTTTTAACACCTAAATATTTCTAGGGATTGCTCCGGGAGCTGCTGACAACTCCAGCAAAAACCTTACAAAAACGTGTTTCACGGAGCGAACGTCGCTAGGGAAGATTCGAGTTTTTTAAATATCTTTTTCAAGCTGTCAACCATCTGGGGAAATAACTCCCAAATCCAGCTCGGATCGCAGCTGGGCTGAGGAAATACGTCGTGTCATTAGCAGCCCGTGGGCACCCGGGGCGTGACTGCCGCCTGAGAAATGAGTCCTGTCACATCCCTGCCTCCACCTGGTACCTGGGCCCAGCAGACACCCTTGAGCCCTTTTGGCCAAAAGTAAATAAATAAATACACAATCGGTGGCTCCTGTTTTCCCAAATTGCCCTGGGAAAGTAACCCCCCGATTGCTTTTCTCTCCCTGCTCACTTACCCAAAGCATCATGCTGGGCAGACAGTCCTGGAATTGATGACACGATCGGTGAACGAACGAAGCCCCGAAAACTAACCTTTTGTGGTTTTGCAACCACAGTAATAAGAACTTAGTGAAAATCTCAGTCGTTCGGATTCTAAGAAAGTCAGGGTAGGAAAGAGTTTTCCAGAGCCTGCCTTTTGGATGGAGCGAGCTGCCCTGTGAATAAATCCATCAGCGACGGAGCCAGTCAATGGGATTGTCACTAACACTCCTGTGCCAGCGTCTGCGCCACACCCTTCCCTGGATTCTCATGGAATCCTCACAACGAGAACGACAAGTAAACCTTCTCCTGTCCCCATTCTACAGGCGGGGAAAGCTGAGTTCAGTAACGTGCTCAGTTAAATGGCTCCGAACCCAGGCCGTCTGCCCCCCGGAGTCCCACCTGAACCCGATGCAGCCGTAAAGCTCAGGCGGCTTCTACCCGTGAAGTCAGGGCCTCCGCACGAGGCCCCGGTGGGACAATAAAGCCACAGACAGAGTCCGCAGATCACCCTCAGCCTGGCCCGCCGGCGGAAGTCACACATCACCCATCCACGCGGGCACGTCTGCAGCGGCCCTGGACTTGAACTGGAAAACGGAACTGCTTTGCACTTCCTCCCCACAAAGAACATAGGGGCCTTGCGTGCCCCCGACTGAAGTGGGGGAGACCTCACCGCGGGGAGAGTGACAGAAAGCTGTCTCCCACGAAATCCCTCTGCCAGGCTGGCTGAAAAGACCTAAATAAATGTCCAGCTCAACGGGGTTCCCTGGACCAACCAATAAAGAAAACAAGCGGTTCCTGTGTGTGGTCACCAATTCCGAAATACCCACACGCGTATCCGGAGATGCACGTGTGTAGATCCGTGAGCATTTACACACACCGTCTCCTAGACGCGGCTCGAAACTCACACGCACACACCCTCTGGACAAGCTCCTTCATGCAGGCAGATCAATAAATATATTCGTTGGAGAAGACTTTTTTCTAAGTAGAAATATTACAGGGCACAAAGATACCAAATTATAGCGTCATACATCTGAAATTTATATGTTCGTAATCAATGTTACCGCAATTTAATTTTCAAAGATGAGAAAAAATAAAAATTGGGGGGGGGGGTGGGTATAGTCACAAGTGGTTATGGCGCTAGTTTCCTGGGTATATGTATGTGTCAAACTAATCAAATGTGCACTTGCAATATTCTCGTTTATTGTGTGACCATCATGCCTCAGTAAAACTGCGGAGAGAAATTTCCCCTGGATGCACCTTTGTGGTGGTGACTACACACAGCTGAGGCATCTCCCCCAAAGGGTCTGACCATCCACGTGTCTCTAGCAGGTCATTGTCCTGTGTCCACCACTTCCTTCCTTTCTGTGTGAAGCTGGGCTTTCTTTGGGGGGTGGGGGTTATTCGATATATTTTTGGACCCTTTGGCGGCCCGGGAGCCTTTGAGAATATATATATGTGGCAAGGAGCACCCTGGCTGCTGTTGTTTCCACTCTTCTCCCTGTGCCTGTCACCACAAGCTAAAGTGGTTTACAGCAGCGACCGGGAGACAGGTTCCCAGTGGCCAGACTCCAATTCGCCCGAAATGGTTGTGCAGCTTTCAGGGTTTTTAGTCTTAACGTTCTGGCTCTTGTCAGTTCAACCGATGGGAGAACTCAGCCAAATCCTCTTTCCCAGGGGTCCTCAAACTACGGCCCGTGGGCCACATGCAAATACAAATATTGTACTTGTTCCCGTTTTGTTTTTTTACTTCAAAATAAGATATGTGCAGTGTGCATAGGAATTTGTTCATAGTTTTTTTTTAAACTAGAGTCCGGCCCTCCAACGGTCTGAGGGACAGTGAACTGGCCCCCTGTTTAAAAAGTTTGAGGACCCCTGCACTTGCCCTTTAAAAAGTCATTGCATGTTGGGCACGAGCAAGGTTTCTTCGGGAGGGAAGCTCTCCCCAGACCTGGGTTCCCAGACAGGCCTTGTGGCCTGGAGGGGCTCATCCATCACAGCCGGCCTGTCGCCGACACTCTGAATGTGGAGCTGACCCACAGCATTCTCTAACTACCCGGCTTCCGGGGCTCCCCCGACACCCAGTACTGGAAGGACCTCCGCGGGGTGCCTGGGAGCTGCAGGGTGCTCTCGCCCTGCTGGCCTCCCTCGCCTGGCCCCACAGCCCCTGGAACTTCCTTACCTCGTAGGTGGGGATAGGACCTGTGGAGGGGGCGGGGCGTCCCATTCCCAGGTCCATCTCCTTAAGTTGTCCACGTGACCCACCCTCCCTGATCCCATATAGAACCTTCTACTTCCCCCACAGCAGCCCTCTAACCCCAAATCACTGCTTAATACTCTTCACAGTCCACACCGCACAGTGGCTGAGGCCCCTCCCAGCACCCACATCTTGCCTTGTCAGGTTCCAGATCTTTCCATAACAAGCCTTAGGAATCATTCAATCTCCCCCCGCCAATACAATGAATTGCCCCCTTGATTTTCTAAAGAACAGACATGAACCATGACAAGTCAAGACAGCCCTGACTCCTGGGCAAGAAGAGATGATGCTCCCCCGACCTGTGGTTATGGGGCGCCCTGTTCCAAGGTCACTGCCAGGCTTTGAAATGCCCACATCAGACTGTGGATTTCGAACAGCACAGCGTGGGGTCTGGCACCATCCCACCTCTGCCCCAAGCTACAGCCACCTTCTCCCCAACAACGCATTGACCACTGCCCAGGAGCCCAGCGTGACCGCCTCACCAAGCTGTGGTTTTGCAGGATCCTAGCTAAGTCCTGGGAGTGTGGTCCAGGCTGCTGGTGGCAGAGCTTGCTCGGTTTGTGTTTTTATTTTTGTAACAATGCAAACCTTGCTTTAGCATGTGGGGGGGGTGGCGGAGGGGAGATCAGAAATCGCTGAAACCAATTAGAGAAGCATCTGGAAAATCCAAGCCCAAGGTTTCCGGCAACCTTGCCACCTGCCCAGATTGGAGTTGAAATGCATCCAAAAGGCGGAGGGAGGGAGGGGAGCACGAGACTGATCTCCACAGAAACGTGGCCCCAGGAAGGGCGGCCCGGCCCCACCCAAGAGCATCGGTCACGGGTGAAGTGGCCTTTCTTCTCACTGAGAACGTCTGGGGTGTAGTGGGTGCCTCCTCGTTGTAGCTGAGTGCGATAAGTTTGTTTCTAACTGGTGTGTGTGTGTGTGTGTGTGAGAGAGAGAGAGAGAGAGAGAGAGAGAGAGAAAGGAGTCTGCCAAACCCATGAATATAGAACAAAAAAGCTATAATCCTCAGGCCATGGCTCTGCCCCAGGCCCAACCCCTGGAGTAGACGCTGGTGCCTGCCATGCGTGCGGAGCCGCCCAGAGCCTGCAGCTCCAGCCGGAGACCCCTGCAGAGTCAGGGACCAGCCGGCAGACCCCGGCATGGGTTCCCCAGCCCTGGACTTACCTTGTGATTCTGGTAGGAAGTCACCGCGATAAACGCCGTCTCAGGAAAGACGTGGGTGCAGAAAGCAGTATTTTTTGAGCCAAATCCATTATTTTCGTCGGCTTTCACGATGTGTAATCTGGGCTGGTATTTGTGCATGGAATTTAGAATAATCTAAAAATAATAAAGAAAATGAGATTGTAAGAAAAATGAAAACCCCTTTGTTTCCAGATAAAACCCCGCACTCTACCCCCAAAATGAGCCTCCTCATACAGGCGCTCGAAAAATATTCCGATTTTTTCCCCTCCTGTTTTGAAAAGGGTCCAGTGATTTCATTAAAAAGAAACATTTCAAAAATGACAATTTCCAACCGAAAAAGCCAGGGTAATATTCCAGGAATCTACCCAAAGCACACAGGGCAGTAAATCAGAATTCTTAATAAAGTTTGCTTAATAAATTAACTCCCTACGTAGGGCACTTTCGCCCCAACAGGAGCGAAGCAAGTTGGGAGCAAGGACTGCGCCCCCCCCCCCAAAGCCTGGTGACAACTTTTGGGATTAAAGGGGAGAAGAAACAAACAATCAAACATACAAATAACTCTGCCCCCCCCCCAAAAAAAAAAAACAACACAAACACAACTCTAAGAGACGCAAAAGAGAGACAAGAAGCGTTTGCAGAACTGGGATGAGAATCATGGGCTTGGCTCTTTGGAGAACGGACAATGTGTGAGTCAATGAAAAAAGAAGAGGATGGGGTGGGGGACCCTAAGGACGGCGAGATAGGGGAGCCCCTCCCCCTGCACCGTCAAACAAGGCCGGCCGAGGTTCTCCTTCTCCAGCTTTATCAGTATTTCAGGATCCACAGCCGGAATCACCTCCAGACCTGGCCCCAGACAGAGCTGCGGCCTCGGCCTCCTCGGCCTATTCTGTCTCCGTCCTTTCTGCTCCGCGTTTGGGGTGCTCCCAGGGACGAGCGGGGTCTGCGGATGTGGCTGCGCTGCTATTCCCACCGCTGGGAGGGGGCAGCCGGCACGACCACTCACCGAGAGGCGCCTCCTTCCTAAGGCACCAGTTTGCAGGCTCCCAGAGGCGGTGAACGCTGATGCTTTTGAAAAGCGTTCTCACCTGCACCCACCCAGAGGCCGCGCGACGCGGGCTGAGAATCCGGCCTGCAGGCCGGAGCGGCGGGGGCGTCTGGGTGTCTCTGATTATTTGCACTGATGGCCCTGGGGCAGGGCTCTGGGGCCATCGCTAGAGACCGGCCTGGGGGAGGGGGAGGGCCCCTGCGGCTCCCGGATCCCGGCCGCGCGGCTCTAATCTCGGGCCTCCGCAGCCCGGCCGCCTGCCCGGCCGATAGCGACGCCGGCCCGGGCGGCCTGGCGACAGAGAGACGCAGCGGGGCCTCGCGCAGCCCCGGCGGCGCGGCCATCGGCCCGGCTTAGCCAAATTGCTTTGACGGGCCGGGGACGCCGGAGACATCAGCGCGCGGGCGATCTGATGGCCCCTAATTTCATCAGGGCGCTCGGCTCCGGACGCAGAGCCAGAGTGCGCGGTGGGAGTGCGCGGCAGCGCGGAGTCCGGAGCAGCTCGGAGCGCGCTCTCTTCCCCCGGCTCCCAGGGCCCTGAGACTCCCACGGTGCCCAGAGCTGGGGGGAGGGGCCCTGAGCCTTCCCCAGGGGTCCCCCACCCCCACCCCAGCGCGACCCCGAAGGCGCGTCAGAGCCGCGGAGGGAAGGCTAGGAGCCCAACTGGGGCCGCAGGACAGTCCCGCTTCCTGCCACCAGGATCCCACGCAGGTCCCCACACTAGGGCCCCAGCTCCAGAGGGACGCAAGGTGTGTGCGGGACCTTCACAAATAGCCCGCCTCTCCCCAGCGCTGCCCCGCAATGAATGGCTCAGCGCCCGCAGGTACGCCGCCCACCAAGCTCCAGGTCAGCCCTGCTCTCCCGGGCAGCAGCGCTCCAGACGCTGGAGACAAAGCCCCTCTGCACCCTTCCCAGCGCTCCGGACCACGCGGAGAGGGGCCGGCCTCCCTGGTCCCTGCCCCAGTAGCCCGCAGTTCAAGCTGCCACCAGCCACGCAGAGAGCGGCTCTGAGCGCATCCATGAAGGGCCTGCTGTCCCCTTCCCACCTGCGCCCACGGGAGAGGTCTCATTTGTACCTTCACCAACTGCCCTCCCTCCCGCTCAGATCCGTTCCCACCCAGTCCCCTCACGTCCCCAAATCGGGGACCACGTTTCTGTCCGCTGTGTCTAAAGAAACCTAGCAGGACAGGGAGCCCTTTGGGGACTGGAGACCCAGCCTCACATCCTGTCCCCAAATCCCAGCTGGAGGACCGTGGCAAGTCCCCTCCCCTCCCTGGACTCCCAGTCACAGAGGCTGCGTGGACTTCTGTCCTCGGGCCCTCCCTAGGCTGCTGTGAGGATTAAATGCCCCAAGACCAAGGAGCCCACGTGTATGGCGGCATCACCAATCTGAGGGTTGCAAACACTGAATTCACAGGCCATTTTCTGTCCTGGTGATGAATTCTTTCCAACAACGCGTTTTAGGGGCGTTTTTCTAAAAATCAGTGTTTTGTCCTCCATTTGTTTTTCTTTGGGGAAGACAGGGCGGTGCCCTCTGGGGCATCTGCTCAAACTGCACATCTCCTGGAGGGTGGGGTCTGCACGCTCAATATCCCGCATGCAATTCCAGGGGCTCGCCAGGCCCCTCTCTCTCGGGGCCCATGGGCTCCAGGTTTAGGAAGGGCCAGGTTTGCCCACTGTGGGCATTATGGGGAGGAGGAAAGCTGGAAGTTGGGGAAAACAGGTCTGCCAGAAAGCATCGCCCTAACAGGAGCAGGGGCAGCAGCGGTTTAGGGGGCAGGTGGTCCGGCTGCCTCTGGGCTGGAACATCCCAACACTAAGGCAGGATTTGGGAGGGGGTGGGGGAGGAGTGTGGCTCCCACCGCGGTCTGGCCTCTGAGCTGGGTGCCCACGGGGTGAGTGTGACCATGGTTTGTTTTTTCCTGCAGGACTGAAACCCCCACCCGCACCCCTAGTCACAGATGGGACTGGGCGCAGGCCGGGTTCCCAGCCCCGGCGTCCAGGCCTCCAGGCCGGGAATGTGCAGCTCCAGTCACAGCAAGATCCCCGCTCCTCAGCAAAGGCCGGGGCTGGTGGCAGGGACGCCGTGTGAGCCCCGGGCCAGGAGAACCAGGCCCCACCTCCATCCACTCGGGGAAAAACGGACCAAAGCGTGGGATGGAGGACCACAGGGAGGACTGCAGAGGGCAAACCGTGGACGGGGGGAGAGCGGTGGGCGCGGAGAGGGGCGCGAGAACACGGAAAGCTGAATTAGAAGGCGAGAGAAACGACAGACAGGAAGAAGAGAAAGGAAGACCAGATCCAGAAAGGGGGGAGGGGGGCAGAGACCAAGGGGTGAAATAAACGAAGCCAAGCCGGGAAAGGAGATGGGTGGGTTCTAGAAGCCAAGGAAAGGAGAGGAGGGGAGGAGAGAGATGGACCTGAATGTGCTGGGCTGGGCTGCACCCGGTACTTACATGCCCGAACGGGTCCAGGTGGTTGTTGGTGAGCTTGAGTTTCTGGAAGGAGACCAGCTGCCGCATCCAATGCGCCCCGGTGGCCGGCGAGTCTGGGTGCACGTACAGGCGGCCCGGCATGGCCGGCTCCGCTTTGCCAGTCACCGACCTAAACCAAGGAACCAGCTCAGCGCACGTGGTGCAGGCGGTTCCCGCGCCAGGCCCGGGCTGCTGAACCTGAGAATGGCCTGACCCTCGGGTCTCCCTGGCCCTGCGCTGCCCTCCAGACAAGCTGCCCTCCCCGGCTCTTTTTCCTCCACCGAATCCTGCCTCCCAGCACCGGGGTGCGCGGGCCTAGCAGCCGCAGCCTCTCGCTGCCCACCAACAATCTCGCGGGTTCTGGGAGCCTGAGCGTGCGAAAAAGTCTTGGAAAACTCCTTGAGGGCTTTCAGAGGGGGCTTCCTCTTCAGGCCTCTGCACTCTTGGCAGCTGCGGAGAGATCTACCCACGGAATGGGCCTCGCTCTCCGCTCTTGCCTGTTTTACTCAAATACCATGGGCCGATTTTGCAATTTCATAAAAAGGCATGTTCAAAGCGGGTAACTCATAAAAAGTAACTGTAAATGGTTTTACGCCCCCAAATACCTCCAGCGCTTGGTAACAATACCCTTTTGAAAAATCGACAACCCGCGGGTGCAGCGGTGCACACAGGCCCGTTACCTCCTCTGAGCCTCAGTTTTCTCATCTCTGAAATGGGGGCTAATCGCTGCGCTTTGGCCCTTTGGAATGAGGTCAAGGAAATGCAATGGGAAGGCAGCAAAAGCCTCTGTGCACGGTAGGACCTCAGACAAGGCGGCTGGGTCCGTGGGGGAGCGCCCTCCCCACCTGCCACCCTGGTGCCTACCATTTATTATCTGCAAACTTGTATCTGTGGTCGTCAGCGGGGACGATGTCCATGAGGAGAATGTACTTCGTTTTGGGATTAAGGCCAGTCACCTTCACTTTGTAACTGGGAAACATCCGCCTGAGAGGGGAAGGAGGAAGAATCCCGGAAGAGAGTGAGAGAAGGAAGAAGTGAGGGGGGAGAGAGAGGGTGGGGGGAGAGAGAGAATATGAATTAAAGCTAATAAGAAGAGTATGTCCACAAATTTCGATGGAAGATTCCTTTAGAAACGTGAAAGACAAAAGTGGCCCCGACTCCGCTCTGGCCGAGATCCACCCCGGGTTTCCCTTGCAGTTACGGGGAGGAGAAAGGCTAAGAAAGCCGCTGGCTGGCCACTAAGTCCAGGCAGAAAATAGAAAGCAGGAGGCAGGGCTCCTGGAGAGCGGGGTTTGAAGGCGGCCTGCGTGGGACCCCCATTTCCACGCCTGCTTAAGGCTCTTTCCAGAGCCAGACACCTATTTTTTAAATTGGGGGCAGGAGCAGGCTTCTTAGGTAAAAAGCTGGCCTCCCCCTCCACCCAGCCAGGTGCTTTGGCCCATCTGGGCAGCGCCCCATGTCACGTGGGCACCCTGGTGCGTGTGCCCTAGGGACTGAGCACAGGTGGGTGCCCACACAGGCACCCTGTCCCGGCTTCAGTCCTCCGCCCCCAGAGAGTCGGTTGGGGACCTCTAACAAGCCTCGCAGGAACGCATTCCTCAACGCCCCACAACCCCTCCAGGGCACTCTTCCTTGGAGAGTCTAAACTCCTGAGCCCTCGGCAAAGAAATTAAAAATCCACCCAGATTTGGTTTCAGAAAGAGGATCGGGTGGTTGTGTCCCAGAACGGTGGGCGCTGCGCCCTCTCCCCAATTCCCAGCCGCCTCGGGGAGAGTGCGCCCTGAAAAGTAAGCATTTTAAAGGCTCTCGAGGGTGAGGGCTCAGTCGCCGGATCCCAGGCCGCTCAGGGCTGGCGGGCAGGGGAGCCTTGGAGGGGAAGCCTGGGTGTTTATCTGGCCGCGTGAGTGCGCTCAGAGGCGGAGGGCGCGAGGCCCGCAGGCCTTTTATAGTGAAATCCTCCGGGCTCCGCCGTGGCTTTCCTGCCCGGGCGGAATGGGAAGAAAACCTTAGTTCTTTGGTATAAACAGAACGCGCCTCCTAGTTCACCCAGGCCGAGCGGGGGAGCAGACATTGTTTAATTTCAAATAATAATAAATGTCACTGTTGTCAGTTTATTGCGGGAGGCTTCGGGCTGGAGAGCCGGGGGCGTCTGGCAGGGCGGCTCCACCCTCCCCCTTCACACACTCGGCGGCTCAGGCCTACCGGCCTCCCCGGCTTCACACGCCGCCGGTTCTGGGTCAGCGCAGGCCCCTCTGCCCTTGGGGACCCGGAGGGCCAGTCCGGGATGGGGAGCGATGTGACCGAGCCGTCCCCAGGCCTGGGCACCCTCGCGGCGCTCTCACGCACGGAGATACAACCCTGCACGACTCTCCCACCCCCTCCCCGGAGGCTAGCATTCCCAGCTAAACCTCCGCGAGCTTTAAAAGGGAACTGCAGGGCGAGTCTCGGGCGGGCGGGCGGGCGAAACTGCCATGTTTATCGGTGTCTGTATATAGAGCCCGGCCGAGCCCCGGTTCAGTTTCAAAGGCTTCGCCTGCGTTCTATAAACAATGAAAGAGGCAGCGAATACACCCAGCGATTCAGACTCGGCCACGGGGGACTCTGGAACCTCTCCAAGGTCAGGGCGGGTGGGAAGGAGGGTGGAGGCGAGGGAGCCACTCTGAAACCCGGTCTCGTCTCTGAGTCCTCCCTGCACCTCTGTTTTCCAGTCCTCGCTCCCCTCGCCTCTCCTCCTCTCGTTACTATTGCATCCACCGAGCACAGCCGCCCGCGCCTCGGTTCTCCTTACATAAGAGGTGGAGGAAATGCCCCGCTGCAAGAAATACCTGTTTCCGCAGCTGGCCCTTCCGGGTATTCCCCCGCTGACGGAGGCCCTGGGGGCATTCTCCAGGCCTCTCTGTCTCTCCCCGACTCCCCCAGCCATCTTCCCTTCGTCTCTCCCGCACTCTCCCAGCTTCCCCGCTGCCCTCCGCAGACGCGACGCTCACCTGCCGGCCTTGGTTATGATCATCTCCGTGCCCACTTCGTGGAATTTCAGCCACAGCTCTCTTTCGTGGAGAAACACCTTGATCCCTTCCATGCCCTGGAGGAAGGAGAGAAAAGTCACATGGACAAGCCCGGGGACGGTGGGCCTTCGCTCCCCAAACTGGCCCCAAACACGGATACTTCTCCTTCAGCTCAGAGGCTGAAAACTGTCCCCAGCTCACTGCAGTCCCTGGGCTGGAGCACCAGGCAGCCCCGGCCCAGGAACCCCCATAGGTGCTCCATGGGGGGGTCCTTCTAATGTCAGCTACACCAGCCTAGAAGGGACACCCAGCCCTGGGGTGCTCCAGAATGTCCAATGGGGGACGGGCTGAGGATGCAGCTAAAGAAACCACTCCGTCTCAAAAACCACTCAGGCTGTCCTCACGGAGGCTCAGAAGCCCACGCGCAAGCCTACAAGCACGCAAACACCGTAGGTTGGTGTTTATTCTCACCACGCAGCGCAGATACAGACGGGTGCGCTTCTAAATTTTAAAATATTTACAGATTGTAACAGGTACCTGCAGTCCAAAACAAAGATGCCTCCCCCAATGTCTATAGTAACAAACCTAGGCTCTCCGCACGCCCAGCTTCCTTCCCGCAAGCTGTTTTCATTACGAGCACAGCTTAAGCCACTTAACATTTCCGCTTTCAACTAAGAGTTACTTCACAAAAGCGACGCGAAAAAATTATATACAAAGTCTTCGTTTTGCAATAATCCATAAGTAAGTGAATTTGCTTTTCTGTAAAAAGGGGGGATCTAGATTTCCGAAACTGCGTGCCCATTCTCGCTGCTTCTCTACAAACAGACATATTTTCCCTGAGACCCGTGAAGGGCAAAGCACAGAGGCGATGAGCTAGTCAAGAAGGACGGCGACAACCCCAAGAAGGGCTTTAGCTCCGTCCAATACCTTTTCTGGTGAAGTCACCTGGCTTCGCGCCCCCTGACAGCTTGTTTAAAATCATGGAGGTCTACCTGGGCCCCGGGGCCGGCTTCCAGCCCCGTGAGTCCGTGGCTCCCTGCGCCCTCCTGCCCTCCCGGCACAGCCCCGCGCAGCCAGCCGGCCAGGCCCCGGGCTCAAGACAAATGGTGCGCCCCTCGGCTCTGGGCAGCTCGGGGCGGCGGCGCGAGGAGGCGGGCGGAGGCGAAGGCTACGGAAGATCTGAGGAGGGGTCAAGCCATCGCTCATGCTGGCCTGAAGCGGCCGCTGACCTGGCCCTTAATGAGGCGCTCGGGGCCCAGCCTGCACCTAGTGCATCAGGCAGAGGATCTGCGTTCTTGTTAGTTGGCCCCAAATAGCTGGATAATCAAGGCTTCTCTAGCAACTCAGTGTATTTATAAACCCTCCTGCCACAAAGATAATCCTCAGAATAGTGTGGATTGGAATAGACTAGTATCCGGGGAGGCCGGGCAGAGGACGGTGTGACTGAGTGGGGATAGAAAGGAAAGAGCACAATTAGGGGCAGGGGGCAACCCACCCCTGCTCCCCCCCACCCCACAAAAGGGGCTTTGGTTCCCACGGAAAGCCCCTAAGCTGGGTCTCCTTACCTGCTGGGTGAAGGCGGCCTGTGGGGACGATGGGGACTTGCTGGGGGCCCCTAGCGTGCTCTCTGGCTTTGAGTCACAGGGGAGATCCTTTGAGTCAGGTTCCAGGGGTGTGTGCGCCAGGCCAAAGCCCTCGTCTGCGTCGGCCATGGTGTGCCCGGGGCCCTGTGACCGCGCGGGGTCCAGCGCTGTGGACAGGAAGCAGAGACAGAGAAAGAGAAAGAGAGGGAGAGAGAGAGAGAGAGAGAAGGTTGGGAGTGCAGTACAAGTGACAAGGGGGCAGCTGGGGCCCCACTTTCCAGCTACCAGCACCTCCGTTCCCAGCGGAAGGGGGCTGCAAAGGTCCCCTTATTAGTATTGTTGCTATTACTTTATGATCACGCACAACCTCTTGCGAAAGGCCCGCGTCAGACCCGGAGGAGGCAAGCCCGCATCTGCCCTGCGCAGGCCCCCCTGGATAAGCCAGCTGCCCGTCAAATTTGTCTGGACTCCTGGAAGAGCCAATAAAGATAAGGCCTGGGTATTTTTGGAAGCCATTGGGTAGGAACCAAAAACAAAACAAAAACCTAGTGTCCTTTGGAGAATGTTTTTTTTCTCTCCGTGGAATTACAGGAGGTCATCAGAGCTGTGTTTCTGAAAACCCGCCGGTTCCGCAGGCAGCACGGCTGAGCAACCCGCCTCTTGCAAAACCAGCCACTTCGGAGGGGAAAGATTTGCAGAGAGAGAGGCCCGTCCGAAAGAGAATTCGCGTTCATCTTTTATCTGGTTCAGGCCTTAAAATTAAAAGTCCTTCAAGCAGTCAGAGTCCTCCCGGCTTCCTCCACCTTCAGTACCGTTCAGAACAAAAAGCCAGCCGGGCAGGGAAGCGCCGCCGCAGTTCCGAGGGAGCCGCGCTCCCGGGCGCGGGCGGCCCGCTTTCTGCCGCCGCCCGGGGCGCGCGTTCGCCGGCTTCCTCCGCCCTCCAGCCCGGGGTCGGGCATTTTGTGGAGCGGCCAGGCCGAAGGGAGCTCCTCCGAGCTTCAGCCGGGCCTGGTCTCGGGAAGTGCAGGCCCAAGCTCGGCCCTGGCGAGGACACAACGGGCCCCGGGCTTCGGGCATGGACTCGGCCGCCTCGGCCCCACGCAACGCGCAGAGGGGCCCGGGTTTGCAGGCACCGGAGACTGGAACGCACAAAACAGCAGCTGCAGCGCTGTTGCAGCCGCGGGGAGCCAGCCTCCTGCTCCCAGCGCCTTCCGAGCTCCCAAGTAGGAATTTCCTCCCTCGAAACCCGGGAAGACTGAAGGCGGCGCAAGGCATGGCCCCTCCGCTCGCAGCAGCCTCTCGAACCAAAAGCCGAATCCCATCCGGGTCCGCAGCGACCGGAGACCCAGCTGCCCAGGCCCCACTCCCCAGAGCTTCCCTCGCCGCGGCGCCCTGGGGTTTTCGGGAGGCAGCGAAGGGAGCCCCGCCGTCTGCTCCCAACAAAAGATAGCGGGGCTGGCGTCACCCACGTGCGCTCCCAGCACCACCGGCCGCGGGGACAATCCCACCCCCGCGCCCTTGCCGGGATCCCGGGAGCTCGGGGCTGGCGGAGGCGAACAAGATACGGTTTGACAGAACCAGGCCGCGCGTCCTGGAAACCACCCCGCTCCCCCGGCCTCCGCCGCCGGTCCCGGGAAATCTGCGAGACGGACTCCGCGGAGCCCAGGGCGAGGCGGCAGCACTGCCTGGCGCGCCTCCCGGGGCCCACTCGCGGGGCTCCCTCCCGGGCCAGCCGCGGGCCAGGTTACCTCACTCGGTGAAGCCGGTGCATTCACCACCTCCCTGGTGCTCCTAGCAGGGCAGCCGGCCGCGCGGAGGCGGGGGCGCCGGCATGGTGGCTCCGGGTTTACGCGGGGGGCTGCGTGCGGACTAGAGGCTGTGCTGCCTGCGAAGGGGCACCCAGCGCTGCAGCCCCGGCAGCCGCGGCCCACGGCCAGCACACACCTCCGCTCTGCGCCGCTCTCCCCCTAAAGACTTCCAAGCTGTCAGGCGCCAGAAGGGCTCCAAACAACGCAAAACAGCAGGGGGGTGGGGGGCTCAATAGGATAAGCCCAGTGGCCTGCTCCTCCCGGGAAGCCCCAGGAGGGAAAGTGGGGAGACCCGAGGAAGCCGTGGGAATGGTCCAAGTCCTCTCTGAGCGCCGCTTTCAGGGTTAAAGTTCCGGAATCCGAGGTAAGATATTTCTCTCTCTCTCTCTCTCTCTCTCTCTCTCTCTCTCTCTCAGAAATACAAGCCGACTCAGCTGAGCTCAGTGACGTTGGGCTGCCTTGATGCTTACAAAGTACTGGAATTGCCTATCCAACTAGCTCCTCTCTCTCTCCCTCTCTCTCTCTCCCCCTCTGCCTCCCTCCTTCCTCCCTCCCTATCCCTTCCCACTCCCTCCCCCAACCACATTTTCCATTAGATTTCCCGAACACTCACATCACAACACGACTCTCAAACCCAGACCTGGAGATCACCCCCTCCTCTCCACCCCCTTCCCAGCGTCCATCCATCTCTGCTGCTCTGAGTGCGGCTCGGTGGCTGCAAAAATTCCTGCACAAATCATCGCAAACCAGCCGGCTTCTGCCCGGGAAGTCATCTCCGTGCCGCGGGCCGGGCCGTGCAGAGAGCGGAGTCTAAACGCAAGACGCGTGCACACACGCCCGGCGCCTCCTCTGCAGCCTCACCCGAGTTCTCTTTCCAACGCTGACCTCAAGAGGGAGAGCGGCGTGACCCCGCCTGGCCCAGCCGGCAGCTAGCCGCCCTGACATCTCTCCCCCTCCCCACTCATCACCCAGACTCTCAGTGACTCCGGGGTGAAGGCAGGGTGAAGGTGTGTTGGGATGGGGGTCGAGATCAAAGATGCCAAGAAATCACCATTGGCCCCCACCCCCAGGGCCACCAGACCTCCCTGGCTGGATGTGTACACAGGCAATGCCCAGTTTTATTAAAATAATCAAACAGTCATTGGGGACTGGCTGGGGTTTTCATCTCCCCTTGGCTCCTCTCCCTGCCCCCCCCCCCCAATGTATTATTTTGAGGGTCGAGTTGAAGAGGTCAATACAGGCATAAACAGTCAGGATCTTAGTCTGAGCAGACCCAGATTGGAGCCCCGAGGGCTTGGGGTAAATGTCAGGGTTCCCGGTCTCATCTCCCGTACCCCCTCACCCTGTGCTTTTGCCGGGCTCTGATTAGCGACGTGGACCCGCAGGCCCAGGTCTGGGTATCGGGATTAAGGAAGGAGAAATGTCCCGGAGACCAGCAGCCGCCTCGGGGTGATCCTCTGTGGCCGCTGGGACTAAACGGAAGGCAGGCCTGACACATCGCTGCAGAATTCCAAAGTGAGTTGTCCAGCCCTAACTGCGGGCGGCCTCGGAGAACGGCAGCCGGAGCACTTGCTCCCGTCCCCACTCCACCTTCCAGGTTTGTTTGCACACGGCCTTTCGCCGAGGCTGTTTATTTATTTGTGAAAACACCCTCGCCCTTCCACAGTGTCAGCTCCCAGGACCTGGGGCTTGCTAAGGAGGAGACCCCGGGCCAAGGACGAGAAACAAACATGGCTTCAGGCTGAGGCTGAGTGTCTGCATCTCTGGCAAAAGGAAAGGGAAATCCAGAAAGACCTCTTCAATCCCTGTAAATTCTCAGAGATTTGCGGATAAAATAAATTCCCATAAATAACCCGCCGGCCCCTCTGGAGAGGGAAAATCCGGACTCCCCCAAGCCATCGCCTGGCCAGAGTCGCGGAAGTCTGTGGAGCGGAGATGGTGTGGGCCACCAAGCGAAATGGGGATTCTGAAGCCCCCAGGGGGAATCTATTCGTGCCAGGTGACACCCGAAGGCAAAGTGCAAGAGTGTGCACCCTCCTGTGGCCCTGAGAGCCAGCACCTGAGAGGGGGGATTCGCAGGGCTGTGTTGGGGCGGGAAGCTTAGGGTGTTGGGGGCAGGCGAAGATATTCCCCCCTCCTCCCCAGAGCTTTCCAGGGTGACACTCACCTCCAAAAATCCCACCTCTTCTATCCGGTGCAAAAGCCAGGAGTGACGCCTCACTGGGGTGGGGGGCTCAGGTGAAGAGTTCGGGAAAAGGCCCCCAAAAGAGATTCCTTTTAGGCCAAACCTTCTTCCAGCTTCTGTCAAGAGTAGCATGTACCTCCCAGCTCGAAGTTGGTTTGTGGTCTTCGACAAATTAAATATTACTGTTTATTACCAGGCATACCCCAATAAAATAAAGAGGCAACCGGGCGATACCGGCTATCTCACCAGCCGCTGCACCTATAGGACTTGGAGACGTCACGAGTCACGCAACCCGTCCGCGCGCTGTCACGCTCGACTGGGGGGCAGTGGCGGGAGGTTAATTTCTCTCCATCTTCGCCTATCAGTCCCCGGGTCTGCGCAGCCACAAGTCCCCGACGCCTGGGCCACGGGAATAAATAAAGAAATAAACAAACCCCGCGCCCTCTGGGGAAATGGGGGTGGCGAACTTCAGACACAAATTGAGCCAAGATCGATTTTCTTAGGGAGGGGAGGGGGCCCTTTCGCGAAGGGAGGTGGGAGCCCACCGCAGCCCACGCTTGGGAAGCAATCTGGCGGTTCCAGGGGGGACCAGGTCTCTTGCAGGAGCGTCCCCTTATTATTTAAAAATTATTTTTTCGAGGAGGAGCTCTGGGCCAGGGAATGTTGGGCGTCTCTAGCTGGTTCTGTATGGGACGGGCTAGCTCAGGGTCCCGCGCAGGCCAGCTCAGAAGTAATGACTGGGCTATCGCGGAGGGGAAATGACACAGAGGCGTTGGGAGGGAGACAGAAAGTCGGGGCCTGAGTGTTTCTTGCGGAGAAAAAGTCCATTCTGCGAAGGGCCCTTCAGCTAAGTTGTGGGGTGCGCCTGGGCCCAGCGCTGCGGGCGGGGCAGGGTGCGAGGGGGTGATGGGGTGGACATGGAGAGAGGCGATTTCTGCAGAGAAAAATAATAGCTCCGGGGCCTGCCGAGGGACGAGGAGCCCTACTTTGTTTTGTAATAACGTTTATTATTGTTTCTGTTCTCATCGATGGGCATAACTTCTACGCAGCCCCGTGGAGGGTGCGCGCGAGCTTTTTTGCACGCCGCTGGGAACGCGCTGGGTCCGTTGGGAATCGCGCTGCGTAGACGCCCCCGGCGGCGGGAGAGGAGAGCGAGGCCTGCCCTGCACGGAGCCGCGAGCCAGCGCCGGCCTTCCGGAGGGTAAGTTCCCCGCCAGG